CCAAACACTGTCAATTTGTGGGAGAGGGGTTGGCCAGTTCCTCCACCAGCTTCCTCAGTACTCTCAGGTGGATCCCATCCCACCCCATAGACTTGTGAGTGTCCAGGTGGCATAGCAGGTTGTTAACTGCTTCCTCCTGGATTATGGGGGGTTTATTCTGCTCTCCATCCCTATCTTCCAGCTCAGGGGGCTGACTACCCTGGGAATAACATTAAGTACCTCAGCACATTAAGTACCTCAGACTTTTCCTCAGCCTTGGTGCTAATGTTCCCTTCCACCCCACCCCCCATATCCAATAAGGGCTGGAGATTCTCCTTGGCCCTCTTTTTGTTGTTAATGCATCTGCAAGTTGTTAATGCATTTGTAAAACCACTTTTTGTTACCCCTTACAACAGTGGCCAGCCTGAGTTCTAGCTGGGCTTTTGCATTTCTAATTTTCTCTCTGCGTGACCTAATGAGACCCCTGTACTCTTCTTGAGTCGCCTGCCCTTTCTTCCAAAAGTGGTAAACTCTCCTTTTTTACCTCAGTCCCAGCAAAATCGCTCTGTTCAGCCAGGCCGGTCTTCTTCCCCACCGGTTCGTCTTCCAGCACATGGGGACAGCCTGCTCCTGTGCCTTTAAGACTTGCTCCTTGAAGAATGTCCAGCCTGCCTGGACCCCTTTGCCCTTCAGCACTCTCTCCCAGGAGACCCTCTCAACCAGTGTCCGGAACAGGACAATGTCTGCTCTCCTCTTTGCTTCACCAGGAATTGAGAACTCTATCATTTCATGGTTGCTAAGCCCAAGACATCTCCCACCAGTCCTTCTCTGTTAGTAAACAGCAGGTCTAGCGAGGCACCTCCCCTGGTAGGCTCACTTACCAGCTGCGTCAGGATGTTATCTTCCACACACTCCAGGAACATCCTGGACTGTTTCCTCTCTGCTGTGTTGTATTTCCAGCAGATGTCTGGTAAATTAAAGTCCCCCACGAGAACAAGGGCTAGCGATTGCGAGACTTCTGCCAGATGCTTGTAGAAAACTTCATCTACCTCTTCATCCTGGTTGGGTGGTCTATAACAGACTCCTAACAGGATGTCTGCCTTGTTGGCCTTCCCCTTCATCTTTACCCACAAGCACTTGATCTTATCAGCACAATCATTGAGCTCTATACAATCGAAGCAGACCCTGACATACAGTGCCACCCCACTGTCTCTTTCCTTGCCTATCCCTTCTGCAGAGCTTACAGCCATCCATTGCAGCACTCAAGTCATGAGAGTCGTCCCACCATGTTTCTGTGATGTCCTCACAGCTGTCCTGCTGCACAATGGCTTCCAGCTCCTCCTGTTTGTTGCCCGTGCTGCGTGCATTGGTGTAGATGCACTTGAGCTGGGCTGTCGATCTCACCCCCAACACTGTCATGCCATGCCTGGGCTCATCTCTAGTGAGCCGGGTTGTATCCCCTTCCTCCTTTGAACCTAGTTTAAAGCCCTCTCGATGAGCCCCGCCAGCTCATGGGCAAGAATCCTTTTCCACTACTGAGACAGCTGGACTCCATCTGCTGCCAGCAGGCCTGGTGCTGTGTATATCTCCCTTCCATGATCAAAAAAAACAAATGATGACCTCTGTGCAGTCTTTGGTCAGCTGAGATCAGACGTGTGGAGGTCTCCAGCCTGTGCAATGCTTACCAGTATGGATGCCGGAGGCCTGCCTCCTTCCTATGCTGTGGAGCCGCATCCATGCGGGGCTGATGGATCAGGAACACACCCAAGCCTCCAGCTTGGGTCACCACGGCTGACAATCACAGCCACCGAAGGGGTGACTGCTGCATGAGTGGATACCTGCCATCTTTTTTAGGTGAAGTGCCAGCTGCAGTGGGACCGTAGCATCACAGCCTTCAGCTGTGGATGTAAACACTCAAGCTTGCAGGGAGCCTGCACGCCCTTATTTGTCACTGCCACCTGAGCTAATGCCAGCACATAGGTGTCTCCTCATGAAAAGGAGAAAACTGCAATAACTCTAGAGGGTGAAGCTGACAGTGGTTCCACGAAGAACAGACCCTGATTGGAGAGGTGACCCTGAGCCACTCTGCCCCGTAACGCCTTCCACTTCTGCTGTGCCCCAGAGCCCTGGCAGCTCAGCCACAGAGATGGAGAAGCACGTGTCCGTCACACCTCAACAGCGCAGGGCCAGCCCCGGCACTGCTGCCTTCTGGGAGAAGTCACTATCAGAAAGGTCTCCGTTCCTCCAGATCACCACCACCACCCCGCCTCTGGCAGGCTCTTGCTGGGCCTCCAAAGGGACAGCGCTTCCCCCCGCGCGCCCCCCTCCAGCTGGTGCCCCATCGCCACGGTCTGCCCCGTCTCCGTTAAAGGAGGAGGGACAGACGGAGGAGCGCGGGACACACGGAAACCCACCAGAAACAGGAGAAAACAGCAGGACAAAATACCCCCACGCCCCGAAAAAGCTGGGCAGAGCAGCGGGGC